ACTGCTCTTGAGTGTTGACTTGACTGCATCTGGCATCAACTAAAACCCAAGCTGCTGGGCATGCTGTGAGGGATTTTTTATCAGCTTCTTAGAAGCAGGAAGACCCACCCTAAATCAGGACCACACCTTCTGCTGGCAGAACACAGAAAAGAAGGTAATGTGCTTTTGGCTGAGAAAGATGATGAGAAAAGTCCATGAAGGTTTGTGACTGTGGCCTGCAAAGCAGCACAGGGACCTAGATAATATTGTGTGAAGTAAAAGACCCCAGACACCAAAGATCACACACTCTGTGATTCTCTTTATGTGAACCATGCATATTAGGCAATTTACAGACACAGAATTCAGACCATGAACAGAGTTGATCAGCATAGATCATGGACACCAGGAGCTGACACACGGGGACTGTGGCTGTTGGGAGCAATAGGAAAATGATTCAGCATGAGATGTGGCCTCCAGAAATCTCTCTGTTCACACATCAAGAAAGCCATTTGATTGATTTCTCCATTGCCATTCAAAGGGCAGAAGAACACATCTCCAGCTTTGCAGAAGCTGCAGGAAGGAGGAAGGAAGTGAGCAATGACCGAGGGTCTGGATTCCAGCAGGTCTCTCAGAGGCAGAAAGATGAGGCCATTCTCAACAGGAGTGAGGACACCTGGCCACCTCAGCCCAGTCAGCGGGCCAAGAAGCAGATCTGGTATGTTGGGGGCACTTTGCCAAAGCCACTCTCCTTGGGACTGAGGTCAATGTCCTTAGGAGCCAAGGGACTGGACAAGGAGAAGTTCTGGAGGATGGTAGTGAAGAAAAGGAACAACTCATTGCGGGCAATGCCTTCGCCAAGACAAATGCGCTTTCCTGTAGGCACAGAGGATGAGCCAGGTGAGCCCCAGGGCAGTATACAACCTTTGGACTCTCCCATCCCATAACCCAGACAACTTGGCCCATTGCAAAGAATAAGAGTGAGTTTGACCCTCACCTACAATTTGAAAACGTTAAGAGATTCCCAAAACCTTAAAGAATTGGTACAAGGGCCAGTGAGACTTCTTAGCATGGAAAAGAGCCTGACATCAACCCTGAAGACATGAGTTCACACCCTAGACCCACATGTTACAAGGAGAGAACCGACCCCCAAGTCTGTCCTTTGATATAAACACACACACACACACACACACACACACACACACACACACACACACACACACACCATAGCACACATGTATATGCATACAACCACATACACAATGAATAAATAAATCGTAACATGTGTGCCAATTTGTTGGTGGATGTCTTTGTTGGATCACTTCCAACAGCTTTCTACCATTTGTGGGATTATCAGAGTCCTTTGTTCCAGAACTGTAAGAAGGTACTAGAATAGGAGCCAAGTGTGTCTGTGTACACATGTTTAATGCAACATCTTTAGTGTTTCCTCCTTTCTCATGTGAGGGATTGGTACCCATCGCATAAGAATGCCCTGAGGGTGAAGGTACTGTTTACAAAGACTCTTAGATGAACAACTGGATGGTGTTAAGGGTCCTATATGAGCCAGACATGGAGGCACATGTGTGCAAGTGCAGCACTTGGGATACTGAGGAAGGAAGTTGATAGACTACAGAGCATGGCCTCTCTGTCTCTCCCCTTTCTCTGTCCCCTCTGTCACCCATCCTCTCCTCCACCTTTCTCTCTTTCTCTGTCCCCTCTGTCACCCATCCTCTCCTCC